GGTGGAAGGCGCCGAAGGCGCTGATGGCGAGGAAGAAGAGAATGAGGAAGGCGCCGAGGAGCAGAATGCTGCCAATCTCTTCTACGAGACGCTTATGGACAAGGCCGAGATTGGGGACGTCGCCGGCGATACCTTTGCTACTTTCTTGGATGTTCTTCACCTCACCCCCAGAGGTCGCTTCGATATTGACATGTACGAATCGTCCTTCCGGTTGCGCGGAAAGACATACGACTACAAGATCCAATATTCGGCCATTAAGAAATTCTTCCTTCTTCCCAAGAATGACGATACCCATACTCTTATTGTGCTTGGTCTTGATCCCCCTCTGCGACAGGGTCAGACCCGTTATCCTTTCTTGGTTATGCAGCTGAAGCTGGATGAGGAGATCAGCCTTGAGATGAACATGACAGAGTTAGTTTCCTTGCGCCTGGGTTTAGTTCAGCCACTAACAACGTTTTAGGGATATCTTGAACAGTCAGTACAAGGACAGGTTGCAGCCGCACTATGAAGAGCCAATCCACCAAGTCGTGACCAAGGTCTTCCGTGGCCTATCCGGAAAGAAGGTCATTATGCCTTCCAAGGATTTCTCTAGGTCAGTAACTGCCCTATCTTTACAATACACCCGATGCACATTGCTAATATGTCCACAGCCACCACGGTCACCAAGGCGTCAAGTGCTCAATCAAGGCCAACGAGGGTCTCCTGTACTTCTTGGATAAGAGTCTTATGTTCGTTCCCAAGCCCGCGACCTACATTCAGATGGAGAACATCGCGATTGTCACAATGTCGCGTGTCGGAGGTGCTGTTTCCGCCAGCCGAACCTTCGATATCACTGTTACCCTGAAGGGTGGCTTGGGTGAGCACCAATTTAGCAACATCAACCGGTAAGTACCCTGACACTCTCCTTTTCTGGAGATATTCTGACACAAACAGCGAGGAGCAAAAATCCCTCGAGGACTTTTTCAAAGTTAAGAACATCCGCATCAAGAACGAGATGGCTGAAGAGGTATGTGAAATCTGTTTCCCTGGTATATTACTACCAATTGCTAATTATCTCCTAGGCTTCTGGACTTATTGCTGCTGCTCTTGACAACGATGTCATGGGCTCCAGCGACGACGAAGTACGAGCTGACCGTGGATCAGCAGATGAGGATGAGTCCTCAGTTGACGAAGACTTTGCTGGTTCTTCGGAATCTGATGTGGCCGAGGAATTCGACTCTGATCACGAAAGCAGTGGTGATAGCGATGAGGAGATGGGCGATGCTTCTGGTGGAGAGGACGACAATCAGGAAGCTGAGCGTCCCACGAAGAAGACTAAGACGGTTTAGATGTACAGCTAGTTCAAAATATCCAAGTCTCTAATACATTTTTATAGTCCAATGTTATGATATAGTGGAGCTCACGTGAGTTGGTGATTGGCGGGACCAATTCTGGGGCTTGTTAACCCCTGATCTCAGGAGAAGAGATATCTGGCAAGTACACAAGTACACTTACACATGACAATAGCTTCCAACTTCATTGACAATGGGAAATTCTACATGTCTAGTTGGCAATAGAACTGCAGTCCTATTGCTTACAAGCTGGCACAAACAAATTCGCGTTTTCCGCTGTACCGCACCGGAGTAAACAGAGGTAGAAAAGACCCGAAATTAAGATAAAACAAGGGCAATTAAAGCAGATAAAATAGAAGGAAAAGGTAAAAAAAATCTACAAATATACGAGTCCAAATCCCTAAATTGTATACTTTGAACATATCAGGTGTTCTACGCGGGTCGATCCAAACCAACTCCAGAATAGCTGGGGCCCGACAACCTCCCCCCTTTCTTTCCCAGACTGGTAGAACCTCCTTCTCTCCATCCTTCTCCTCTTCCTCTCGTTTCATTTACTTCCTCTTTTCTTTTCATCGTCTCTCGCTTCTAGTCAATTTATTCCAGACCCCTTTTTTTTCTTTTTTTGGAAACAATTCCAGGTAACCACCTCCCTCTCCCCCGAATTTTTTTCCCCTATCGCGACAATTCGACCCCACTGAAGATTAGGAAAGGCAACTGACGACATTCGTCTAGGGGATCTTAATTCACAGCTTGACATATCCTGAAGCACCCTTTCGCAATGTGTAAGCTATGCCCCAGGATGATCAGGAGACAAACAATCTCGAGGCTCTTCCCCAGAAAAGATGCTGATAGATTTGAAGCTTCACCACCTCCGAGCAGTCCCCCAGTCGCATCTCCTGTCGCGTCCCGGGACTCACCCACTCCCAACAACGGCATGGAGTCGCCTTACGTCGAGCGTAGCAACCCCATGGGCTCCGGTATCGCCCAGACCGTCACCTCCCGCGACCCCAAGGCCGCAGCTCAGGCCGCCACCGACATGAAGAACGTCGTTCGCCGCAAGCTGACTGGATACGTCGGTTTCGCTAACCTGCCCAACCAGTGGCACCGCAAGAGTGTCCGCAAGGGCTTCAACTTCAATGTTATGGTTGTCGGTAAGTTGGACAGGTGATAATCAACCATGAACCAAGCTCATATCCACCAGGTGAATCTGGTCTCGGAAAGTCCACTCTCGTGAACACTCTGTTCAACACCTCGCTCTACCCCCCGAAGGAGCGCACCGGCCCCAATGCCGATATCATCCCCAAGACCGTGTCTATCCAGTCGACCAGCGCCGACATTGAGGAGAATGGCGTGCGTCTCCGCCTGAGCGTTATTGATACCCCCGGCTTCGGCGACTTCGTCAACAACGATGACTCCTGGCGCCCGATTGTCGAGAACATTGAGCAGCGCTACGACACATACCTCGAGGCCGAGAACAAGGTCAACCGCAGCAACATTGTCGACAACCGCATCCACGCCTGTGTCTACTTCATCCAGCCTACCGGTCACTCCCTGAAGCCCCTGGATATCGAGGTGATGCGCCGCCTGCACACCAAGGTCAACCTGATCCCCGTCATCGCCAAGGCTGATACCTTGACCGACGAGGAGGTTACCCTTTTCAAGCAACGTGTATGTTTCTTGGAAGCCCCTTTTGATTCAATTGAAACTGTGGATACTGACTGGTCTAGATCCTTGCCGATATCGAGCAACACTCCATCCAGATCTTCGAGGGCCCCCGCTACGAGCTTGACGATGAGGAGACCATTGCCGAGAACCAGGAGATCATGTCCAAGGTTCCTTTCGCCGTTGTTGGTGCCAACTCCGAGGTGAACACTGCTGACGGCCGTCGCGTCCGCGGCCGTAGCTACCCCTGGGGTATCATCGAGGTCGACAACGAGGAGCACTGCGACTTTGTCAAGCTGCGCCAGATGTTGATCCGCACCCACATGGAGGAGCTCAAGGAGCACACCAACAACTTCCTGTACGAGAACTACCGTTCCGACAAGCTCACCCTGATGGGTGTTGCCCAGGACCCCAGCGTTTTCAAGGAGGTCAACCCTGCCGTCAAGCAGGAGGAGGAGCGTGCCCTGCACGAGCAGAAGCTGGCCAAGATGGAAGCCGAAATGAAGATGGTCTTCCAGCAGAAGGTCGCAGAAAAAGAAAGCAAGCTCAAGCAGAGCGAAGACGAACTATATGCCAGACATCGCGAGATGAAAGATCAGCTAGACCGCCAGCGTGGAGAACTCGAGGAGAAGAAGGGTCGCCTCGAGACCGGACGCCCCGTCGAAGAGAAGGGCAAGCGAAAGGGCTTCTCGCTTCGCTAATGTCCATGACTCTGCCATTGCTTTTGCCTCTGCCTATACTTCTGGCAACTAACTGATCTCACTCTCGTTCCCTTTTTTTTCCCTTACACTTGTCACCCGTCACACTCCCTTACTATCCCATAACGCAGCTGCTTTCTCACTGGATGGGCCCACGCACCGAAAAAAGAATGGGTTTTTTTTTCTTACCGATTGATTGATAATACGATCCTGCGAGGGTCAGCCTGGGACCTTTCACTTCTTGTGATGTACTTTTTGCTACGCCATATCTTGTCTTGCCGCTTTTCTGTGTGCCCTATTACCCGCTCATTTCGTTATTTTCTTAGTGTTTGGGACATTTGGTTGTTCGCCGCCTGTCCGTTGTCTTAGTCAATTCAGCGCTTCAGCTTCAGATTTGTAGTTCAAGTAAACGTAGACAGTAACTATACATGTATAGAATAGCTTTCAGAGGTATACGGTAGCTTGGTTATGTAGAACAGACACCACCTGCACCGAGTCTACAAGTACGGGATACTCTGTTCGATTTGGTGTTTACCCGTATTGATCGGATCAACCGCAATATGATCAAGCTAATTAATTGAGAAAGGGGAGAGAAACAAGGGAAGATAGGGAGTTATTCGCCTTATATATTTTACCACAACTAGTTATAGGCATTGTCGAAGTATATTATATAAACCTGAGAACCTGACCGAGGCTGTTGAGAATATATAACGTAGTGGTAGCTGAGAGGCTAAGTGGCAATGTATATATAGCAGTGTTAGTACTATCATTAAGTGTATCATATAAAAGAGACACCCATGGATATTACATCTAGTATATACTATGACTGGAAAACACCCCGTCCGAAGCCTTACTCTCTTTAGAAGAGCGGACTCGAAAGAACAGTGAGAGAAGAGCGTAAATCAGACTAGAGTCGCACTGAGACGGACATATTAGTTTACTATAATTCAAAATTTAACTTGTTTATTAGAGTCTCCCCTATAGACTCGGATCATGCCCATAGATTAGGTTAGTACCAGCTGCCTATGCACGGACTGGGCCTTATCGTATTAGCAGACTTAGAATCATAGAAGTCTCTAGCAAACTTATCTCGATAGATCAGATATCACAGAGACGGAAGGGCGTTCCCAGCTGAGGCGAAATCAAGTGGCCCCGGGGACCTGCACCTCTTGTATGCCTTATGGCCTCGACAAGCTTCCACTAGGACAATTATAACGCATCGTCACTGCGCTCCAACTCTCCAACCTTCCATCTGACGCTCCGTGGGTCTATTCGCTAGACCTTCATCACTATCTCCAGCTTAACTGGTTCAACAATGGATAAATGGATGCTTCAGAAGCTCACTGGCAGACAATCGGGACTGTGGATCCTGTTGAAGCATTGACCATAGAAACGAAGCAAATTGTTCTGTAATTTCGGCAGCAAAATCGGATTTCAGCCTTTCTCCAACGTGAACGGCAAAGCCGCCATAGCCATTTCCAATGACCTGATTGACTAGATCCTTCAAATTTGCGTGACATTCCTCAGTGGTACATCCGGATGCCATCACAGGAAAGAGTGGCTCTTTCGTAGCAATCTGGAATAGCTGTTTGGTCTAGTTGGTTATAAGCGACATCAACGAATGAAAAGCATACTCACTAAACAACCTAGCGCTCAGATATCAATCTTATTATCCAACGATCCCCCGTCAAGCATTTCAGGGGCTTTCGTCCCGAATGGAGTCACAGGACGGGGGTTCTTATCATTAGATTGGAAGGCTGTTGTAGGTCTGTGCTGTCAATGAACCATATCTCGAATTAGTCAATATGCGCTTACCCCCGCCAAAATCGCCAATCTTAACCATCAAGGATGAAGCATCGGCATCATCTAGCACACCATAGGGTCGCTGGGAGACCATCAAATATCGTGGAACACTCGAGACTACTTCAAAGCCCGGGAGCCAGCGGACGGGACTAAACTCTGGTGGCATAAGAAGGTTCTGAAACTTGGGCTGGTCCGTATTGAATGTTTGCGGGGTGCAGATCTAGATGTTAAAAGCAATTATTGTATCTCTATATCCGAGACATGACTTACCACTATGATTGAAATTCATTTGATGAAGAAATTTCACTTCGAGAATAATCTGGGTGGATATATTCCGCACAAACATTACATTTCAAGCCTTACGAACTGTCATTACCACTCCGTCGGACAACATCGGAGGGAATACAAGACAAAGATGTAAACCATTCGGGCCATTATGCTCAAAATGGCCAAGAAGGGAAAGAACATGTTCCTTGCCGGGGTGAGGTATTCCCGGCTGCGATAATTGAATAAGAACGGGGAGCTCCTTGCTCTTCTCCGAGGCTGTAGCTTTGAGGATTTTCAACGTGACATCTCTTTGCAGCCTATACTCAGTAGAGAGACCTCAGAGATTGAAACAAGTTAAGAGAGTACAGGGGCTTACCTGTTGTCCCATGCATGCCAGACAGTAGAAAATTGGCCATATGACCATTTCCCGATAATCTTGTATCTCTGATGAAACAGATCTCCAAGATGCACGGGATGGTAGCCCCCAGTCCTGTACTCCTCGACAGACTCAACAACGTCGTTGATCCTCTCAAATCGACGCATATCGATCGATGAGATGGAAGGTGTTTGATTACGGTTGCGAACAGTGACAAGAAATAAGAATACCGGCTAGAAGCTTAAATATACATATTTGGAGAAGCGAAGGGGAAGAGGGGATAGGTCAGGTACAAATATTGCGGCCAGGCAGACCTGCTTGATTGATTTTATTACCTTGGCGAATCGTGCTTAAACACGAGCTTCGGTATCATTTGTTCGTAATACTATTTCTTGCAGGTTTTGTAAAATCTACTCTAGCTTAGACTGTATTTGCAAAATACATTTCCCCATCATTCGCTCCACGAAGAGACCTCGATGTATTCAAAGGGTGACGGCAAAATACTTGAACTCCAGCACCATGTAGAGTGCAAGTTATTCCATTGCCGGGGGACCGGCAAACGTGCTTCCGGGAATTGTGCTGTGAGTGACCAGTGACCAGATGTATGTGTATGGGTTGGTCAAGTCTCCAAGACTTCTCGTTTTGAGAGCTGTTATGGTCCTGTTGTGTTGGTCACTACATGTAAAGGGTTAGATAAGTCACGTGTAGCATGACATCATTGACATATGCCCTGGCTGAGCGGTAAACGCCCGATATCTCAGGCAAAGTCCCTCTACGCTACCGTTCAAACTGCGTGCAAACCAGTACTAGGGGACAAAGGCCCTCTGTCCTGGGGCCTTCCTAAAAGGAGGGGCTCAGGAATCTCTGGGATCATCCTTTCGTTATTTTTTGTATGTTTTAAATTATACATGTCTTTTGCTATGGTTGACGTGTAACTTGGTACCAGAAGGTACAGGCGCAGTGTCATGTTAGAGATTCTTTGTGTCCGACATGGACTGTCTTCTTTTATGTTATGACTAGGCCTGATACTATGTATTACCCATTGGGGTGTTTATTTTATAGTGTCACAAGAGAGAGAGAGATCGAGAAAAAACTGCTTCCATGAAGGCACGCTAGTCAGCTACAACATATCAATCAACTGGGACTGCTACCGACATTCATCTTCCCTTTTCCAACCCAATCCGTATTCCAGCCATTGGAAAACCACAGCTGTACGGCAAAGAAACTAAAGCTTTGGTGAGCACTTCAATTGACCGATGATGTGAACATTTTTTGTTATGGTACACATTTGGGACCTACTCCGAAAGCGACTGGTCCCGAGAAAAAAAGAAAGAAAAGAACACGCCTGCATCAAGGGAAATAAGGAATAGAAAATGAACAGTATCAACCCCGGTTTACCAGGCCTCAGTTTCGAAGTTCTCAACCCCAAAGTATGAGGCAACAACTGTACGGTCCGAGAACTTGCGACCCGCCAGCGCCTTAAGAGCGGTGGTAGCGGACTCGGCGCTATCGTACTTAATGAAGATTTTGCCAGCACCATGTCCGCGGCGGGGGATTTTCATTCCAAGAATCTTTCCAAACTTGGAGCATTCCTCGTGGACATCCTCCATGATCTCTTCGTAATCTTCGTCATTGAGGAGCTCGTCAAGAGTGACCATGTTGAGAAGCTGCAGGACCTGGGTGGTCTCGAGATCCTGGGAGGTGGTCTTGGCGAACATCTGCATGGCATTCACGCCCATGTCGAGGCCAGAGGCTTGTGTGGTTCCAATACTGGCGCGGACGAACTTGAGGTGGCGGTCACCTAGTTCCATGCCGTTCAACCCTTCGACGGCAAGAGCAGTGTTGTTAGGGTCGACATATTCATAAAAGGCAATTCCCTTGGAGAAAAAAAAAGTTAGTCACAAAACATTGGACAGTAGGGAGACACTTGAACTTACCCGAGACTCCTCTGTAGCAGCATCCTTGACCAGGACAAACGACTTGAGCTCGCCGAATGACGTGAGCAGCATGATGATAGCTTCCTCGTTGATGTAGGTAGGAATATTAGAGATGCAGATCTTGTTAGGTGAGTCAGGCACCTCGCTCAGCACAACGCCCTGTTGGACGGGCTGCGCTGCGCTGCCGTCGGGAACAATGTAGTCCTTTGGTCGTCGCACTTCAAGTCCCTTATCTCCACTCTCCGCCATGGTAATTCCATCAAAGGCCAATGCGACTGTGGCGTCATTTGGATCCTTGAACTCCAGAAGCGCGAATGTTTTATCTTCAGAAACCTGGGCTGAAATGCAGGGGTCGACATTGTGAATAACGTTGAGTCCATTCAACTGAAGATTGAAGAAAGAAATAACGGCATCGCCCGAGACACCGGGCGGGATGTTGTAAACGAAAAGGCGCTTGGATTGGCGTGAGTTGGAAGGCTTGAGGGCAGCATTGTCGCTATCGCCAGTGGGGGGGTTCAGGAAGTCCTTCATGCGGCTTGGGTCCATCGGCTGCTGACGAGGAGCTCCGGGAAGAGGGAACATCCCTGAGATCTTTGCCTGTTCAGCCGTAACATTTTCGTAACCAGGAGGCTTCATATCCCATTGAGTCAGACGACGCTTGCGGGTCAACACCGAGGGCACATCTGTCAGGTCAGGAGTAGGTTCCTTGCGCCGAGGGGGTGTGGCGCTTCGCTTCCGCTCTCTTCTCTCACGATCTCCACGGTCTCCGCGATCACCACGGTCACCGCCACCACGGCCGCCGCGTCGGTCGTCAAACAGGTCGCGACGGGGTCTGTCGTCGAAGTCACGTCGGCGACCACCGCCCCGATCACCACCGCCACGTTCACCACCACCGCGGTCACCTCGCTCGGCACGGTCACCACGCTCGGCACGGTCACCACGGTCCCAGTCTCGATCATCACGGCGGCCAGAGTAGCGATCTTCACGCTCACGGGCACGGTAGTCACGGCTGGTGGAGTATGAGTTCACTTCGCGCTCCCGACGAGAGTCCCCTCGGGATGCATGATGAGGCGAACGCGATCGTCGTCGTTCACCGCGATCAGTCCGATCGCCCCGTTCAGCTCCACGCTCGCTTCCACGTTCGGCCCCACGCTCAGCGCCTCGGTCGGCGGCTCGATCAGCTCCCCGTTCGGGTCTGTCACCTCGGTCTCGCTCACGTCGCTCGTCGCGCTAGAATTGAGGTTAATTGCCGCGGTTGCGATCAAACATTGGTTGGTACTTACGAAGTAATCGCGGGAACGTCCAGTGTCTGAGAGATATTAGCATGTAAATCAGCAGTAATTATAGGGATACATACCCCTGGATGAGTAGGTGTCGCCGTTCATGTTGAAGTTGGTTGAGGAAATGAAGCTTTGTCGCCAGTGAAGGGGAAAACTCATGACCCGGAGCTGCAGGCGGTGAGAGTATTACCGCCAGAGTGTCGAATGCCCTGCCGGCAGAAAATACCAGCATGGAGACAGCGACTCCGCAGCCTGAAATGACTATTGTTTGTGTTTCAAAGATGTCTGCAGGTGTTTTGTCGGAATGGCAGAAGCTGCCTTTGAGCTTGAGTGAGCTTTGCATCAATACTACTCTGAGATGTGGACAGTCTTTTAGGTTTGTTCAGCCAAATTCTCGGCGCCGGGGGATTGCATATCAAATGAACTGACCCTTCTTAGATGGCAGAACCTCCCAGAGAATAGGGAATGGCGATGTGTTCTCTATGGCCATCTTCTATCGCTGAAGCAAGACTCAGATTTCTTGTATTATAGATCTGTGCAACCTCCTTCCCATACAGTTACGTCAACCGACAATGACCATCTCGTCCGCATCATCAAACACTACTTCAACCTGACGCCAAATTTAACCGAACTCTACTCCCAATGGTCATCACAAGACCCTAACTTCAAGAAAAAAGCTGCCCAATTCACCGGGATCAGGATCCTTCGCCAAGATGCGTGGGAAGCACTGGTATCATTTATCTGCAGCAGCAACAATAATATTGCACGGATCTCCCAAATGGTGGAGAAACTATGCATACATTATGGAAAACTTGTGGCCACAATTGAAGGACGCACATATCATGACTTTCCTCCCCCCGATGCATTAACTGGCAAGGACGTGGAAAACAATCTGCGCAAGTTAGGGTTTGGATACCGGGCTAAATACCTTTATCAAACTGCACTTATGGTATCAAACCGAGACAAGGGATGGCTAGACAGTTTGAGCAACCCCGAGTGTCCAGCATTTGGCGTTGATCCTAAACCCAGTGGTGAAATGAAACCAGAAGGGCGAGAGGGATATCGTGAAGCCCATGAAAAGCTTCTTGAGCTACAGGGAGTCGGGCCCAAAGTATCAGACTGTGTCAGTTTAATGGGCCTAGGTTGGGGAGAGTCCGTGCCGGTTGATACTCATGGTGAGTTCTCTCGATAATACCTCCGACTTATCTCTAATCATTTACGACAGTGTGGCAAATCGCACAGCGAGACTACCGATTTGGAAAAAGCTCCAATAAGAACTTGAACAAGACGACTTATGATGCCGTTGCCAATCACTTCCGCAAGCTTTGGGGCAAAGAAGCTGGATGGGCTCATAGTGTGCTTTTCACTGCGGACCTGCGGACCTTCGCAGACAAACTTGCTGCAACCAAGAAGGTTGATGTGAAAGTGAAAGATGAAGAGTCTGATGTCAAGATCGAGACGAAAGTGACAACAGCTCTTTCTTTGAACGTTCCTAAGGAGGAAGGCGTGGAGCAAGACGTTGATGTGAAAGTCAAGGTCGAGGATATAGATGATGCCAAGAAGCCCAGCGGCAGGAAGCGTAAGGGAGCCGAGAACGTTGTTTCGACGGCTCAAACAACAGAGACACGGAGAGTGTCCAAGCGACTTAGGCGCTGAGTCTGCTAGGGACGATAACTATTCTGACTACTACTATTCCGTATATCACAGAAAGAATCTGTACATATTGTACTACAACGTTGCAAAGCAATCAGACTATAGAGGCGCGAATATACAATGGAGAATTGGGTCTAGTGCGATAAATATGTGCATTTGTATTTAATAATATTAGCTATACCAACATCAAGACCTATAACCGTAATTAGTATAACGGTCAAACAACTCAAAACATAAGACTTGAAGTTGAAAAAAGTAGATCAGAAGTCCAGGTAGATCATCGAGCTAGCATCCGAAAACACTAACTCTGACATAAGAGGTACCAGAAAATAAAGTATAACAAATGCGTTGTATCATCATGTGGGAGGGTTGGAGATTGAGCAAAAAGAGCTGGAACTGACCTTATATTGACGATGTCAAGGTGATGAAAGGTGTGTCGACTGTGAATACTTCAACTTGCACTCGAGATGATCCAGAAAACATCGATTCCAGTCAAGTCAAGTGCAAAATTGAGATTATTGGTTGTTGAGGTTGAAACAAGATAAAAAGAGAAACAAGATGAAGTTTTATCGACGAAAAGAAATAAGCGAAGTTCATCACGTGACCCCACACAGGCCCCATCTTTCCCGTCCACACTTACACCCTCACACCTCTTGATTTTCGATCTTTCATCCACGCCGACAACCGACCAGATTTCCTCCGCCGGACACATCACCAATCCAAAATGGGTCGTCTTCACTCCAAGGGCAAGGGCATCGCCTCTTCCGCCATCCCCTACTCTCGCACCGCCCCCGCGTGGCTCAAGACCACCCCCGACCAGGTTGTTGACCACATCTGCAAGCTGGCCAAGAAGGGTGCCACTCCTTCCCAGATCGGTGTTGTCCTCCGTGACTCCCACGGTGTTGCCCAGGTCAAGATTGTTACTGGTATGGAAATCCGGCGAAACCACGATATGAATTTGAGGATCGAAAATTTCTAACTATTTCGCGCAGGTAACAAGATCCTCCGTATCTTGAAGTCCAGCGGTACGACTCCCTCCGCCCATATAATTACATCCATCGGGTGAAGAGATCGAACAATTTGTGTGAACAGACTTTTCTTGGTTCGGTAAAAGAATCGTCAAGTCTCGAAGTGCAAAATGCTCATCTCTCTCCCCGATAACTGGTCGCAGAAATGCATCAGCAATTAAGCCTCTGCTTGGTCAAGAACATCTAGACTGACAGAGAGATTTTGGAATACAGGCCTCGCTCCCGAACTCCCCGAGGACCTTTACTTCCTGATCAAGAAGGTAAACCTTTTTTTTTCTCCCTCTTGTCTCCACACGTGCAGATTATGCTAATGTCAAAATCATCCAGGCCGTCGCTGTCCGCAAGCACCTTGAGCGTAACCGCAAGGACAAGGACTCCAAGTTCCGCCTGATTCTCATCGAGTCCCGCATCCACCGTCTGTCTCGTTACTACAAGACCGTCGGTGTCCTGCCCCCCACCTGGCGCTACGAGAGCGCCACTGCCTCCACCCTTGTCGCATAAGCGCATTTTGGGAGGATGAGTGGTTGACGGAGGGAACCCATCGGATCGTCGTGATCGTCGTATCTGGAGGGTATATCTTCTGCTAGATACAACAAAAAAGATTACGATCATTTGATACCCTGTTCATGAATGCTCTAGACTCCATGGTAGCTGTAGGTTTGACTAGTAGGTGCCCACATAGGTAATTTTAAAACATCAATGATCGCCAGCCAGGTCAATATAAAGCGGGTACTCGAAGTATATTGAATCTAGTCCCAACCGTATACACTATGCATGTACCTAGTAACTGGCCTATGTTGTACGACTTTAAACATGTTGAAGAGAGTCCATGTATACGTTAGGCATCACACTCGGCTCTAACCTCCCTCGCGACGGCGTTACAAAGCTCAACTTTGACACCAGCCGCCAACAAGATATGAATCCAAAGACGCTGAGTATCACTCAACCGATCATTCTCCGACTTAACCTCAGCGAACATTACCGTCCTCGTCTCATGATTCCAGAGAAACAGGTCCGGTATTCCCCCACCGCGCTGCTGATACTCCTGCGCCATGACCTTGCAGATGGTAGCAAGTGCCTCTCCCCGGAAACACTGCACAATCTCAACCAAGTCATTTAAATCGAAAGACCAGTCAAGCCCAACAGCACAGGGCTGCGTCTCCGCCTCACGAGCATGGATCTCACGAACGATCCGCTCCGCATCCCCATTCGTGATCCCAACCAGTCGGTGATTGATCTCCGATGCACGAGACGGGTAGAAGACATCAGTGTGGAGATCGAGCGGACACGTCTGATACGCAGTCTGGAAGACATTCGGTACGTATGTGAATAAGATATCGTAAAAGAGGTAGGCGAACTGTATTGAAAATCAGAAATCGGCTCAATTTTCGGGATATTCCAATGCTGCTTTGTATTGGGGTAAGACCCACCAGCGTCCGCACAATCCCCCCCCTCAGAGTGATACCCTTTCCATCCATGATCACGGTACCAGCTCAGACACATACTCTCCACCCTGCACTCGCCGCCCTCTCTCTCATCAACCCAAACGGTCGCCTTCCCCTTCCGCGGAGCATCACCCGTATCGATACGGATACCCTCAATTGTCCGCTCAGCCGGTTTTCCTAGTATGACATGTCCGAAATCATGCTGCTCGCGCTTCACAACCCGAAGCGCCTTTTCCAGCTTCGTGATCCGCTTCTGCAAGTCATAATGAAAGATTAGATGACACAGCGGGTCTTCCAGACCCGCCTCGCACGTCCGCAGCGCAAGTCTCTTCCAATGCTTGCGCTGGGCTTCTTCGCTACGTCCCTCTGAAGGCGTAAACGCCCACATATAGTGTTCTTCTAGGAGTGCCTTGCGCTGATACCACGCACCACGCCGCGCTGCGTGGAAGAGACGTTGAGCAAGAAGTTCCTCTAACACCTCGTGCTCACGTTTATGCTCCTTGAACCGCCCGAGCGGGTTGAGACTCTTGTGGATGACTCTTGTGAGTACCCATGCCGGCGAGAATCGGCGTAGATAAGCACCTTCGCCGCTTTCGTAGATGCTGTCTTCTTTCTTTTGCTCTTGCTCGACTAGCTCTTTCCATCGGGGATGGGATTTGTTAGCAAGGTCGATGATCTGTTGGAGGGAGCCTGTCGTGACTGGACCATTGGATTCGAGGATGTTGTCGATGGCGAATTGGGTTTGTATCGCTGATTCGAATTCCAGTAGCGCTTCTCTGGAGGAGAATATAGAATTCGAGCGACAGACGATATATTCAGGGAAGTTTCTTTTGGTCATTTTCGCTAGGATGATTGTTGTAAGGGACTTTTCGGTCCACTCCGTGGAACGATAGAATACTAGGTGCACTCGCTCGAAGAGAGCGCGAGGCACTGGGGAGATCCTGATGCATCCACCCGTGTAATCCAATATCTTTTGGGTGAAGTGTCCGTCTCTGTTGTTCGTATCTTTGAGTCCTGTTTGGGTCTGGCTCGTTTCGCAAAGAGCTGCCAGCAGCTCTTTCTTGCTCTTGCCCTGGACCTTGGCCTCCTTTGCAAAGACCTTGAGTTCTTCCAGCAATAGAAGTGATGAAGCCTCTTCCAGCGTTGTGATCGCTTCTATGCCTTCCGCAAATCTGAACGTATTTCCAAGTTCTGAATCGGGTAGGTTCCGGTCCCGCTGTAGGTCCTCGGCAACAGAGAATAAATCCGAGATATCGGTGTAGTAGTTCAAACGGTTGATACGGTGCCAGGCAGAGGTCTTACGGAGGAACAATCGAACATAACTGGTCAAAGATTAGTTTCAACCACAGTCCAACACGTTCTACAGGAAGACATACAGATACTGGGATTCGTAGGACAACCCCCGCCACTGCGTAAAGATTTCCATTTCAGCCTCGTTAAAGAGATGCGATTCCTCATCCAGGACAGTTTCCAGTGCCAGGTTGAATGCATCCACATAGATGGAGCTTTTGCCTTTCTGCCAGACACCATCTCGTAGCCTCACATGTAATCCCAGCTCGGCGTCATTCTGCGACGTCTCATACTCCTCGATTACATCCTCGTTGGTCTTGATCGTAGGGAGGGAAGTCTCGAGTTCTGTTTGGCTGTTGGAAATCATCCCTATATCATCCATAGCCGGGTTCTCCCCCGCCGTGACCGAAGGACTCGGGCTCGGTGGTTTAATGTCTGCGTCTGTACTAGAATCCTCATTTTCAAAAGTCCGTCGACGTTTCGTGGGACGCTGCGTCTCCCAGAAGTTCAACAAGGACATGATCTCTCGTGGCCATGGATACAATTAGTCCTAGCGACTCGAGTCTCCGAGTATAAGCAGACACGAACGACGTGTCTCGCGAACAGGTTTGGATCACGAGATCACGTGCCACATGTAACTCTATTAAGCTGTTTGTCCTGTTTGCATATGACATAGACAAAGAGCCACAGCAAAACAAGAGAAAAGGAACTAAACAAAGACGCTCTGAAGAAAGAAAAAAAAAAGAAGAAGAAACACCATCTGAATACCATTTGAAAAGACCCTAAGTGCAATAACTAGATATAAAAATGGCCCTGGCCCTACCAGTAAGCCCCAGCTCTCTCTCCCTCACAGATCGACCTCCGAGCTCCACAGCTTCCGCTCCGCCAGCATTCGCCGATTCCACTCTCGCGACTTCCCACTTCCCAAAGATACATCCAGGGCCCCGATTAACCTGTTCAGCCTCCCACCCTCGCAATCTTAGATCCACCCACCTCCTCGGCTCCTATACCCACATCCCAACCAAAACCTACATCCACAATGGGCGAAACAAACGGCGCGGGCTCCGGCACGCCGCTTGGCGATTTGAGCAATATCTCTGCGGGCCAGGTTCGCCCCGGTGGCGCCCCAGCGCGTGTCTATCTCAATGAGAAGGTCGTGCCGTATCTACTTGATGGGATGAAGTCTGTTGCGCGTGAACAGTGAGTGGAGATGGCTTGCTTTTCTATACTTGTCTGCTGGATGGATTTACTTATCTTTTTTTGCTTTTTTGCGCCAGGCCTGCCAATCCTCTCCGTGTGCTCGGCGAGTTCTTGCTTCAGAAGAGTAATGAAGTGGAGGGTGAGACTAAGAAGGAGTCGGAGTAGAAGGATTTCTTGGGCGTTTGGTGTTTGATTGACTGTTCTGGTGTTATTTTTACTTTTTTCCCTTGTTTTTTTTTTATGAAAGCATTGATAGCTTTGGTTTGAAAAGCCTGTGAGTGTACTTTGATGTACACTAAGACGTTCACCATTTGATACCCCGATCAATGTCTATACCTGTCTTGTCAGTAGGGTCTGAAGGATAGCAGAAAAGAAAGATAGTGAGAATGACTTCTCAAAAAGCAAAGTAGCAGTTATTTACCTAGGAGATTAGAGTATATCAAATCATCTACAGATTGAGCTTTTCAGTGCGCGTATTCTACATTTTGCGGTTGATTATTTTCATCCTTCTAGGACGCTAAGGGGGAAATCATCTAAAAAAGTGATATCTTAATATCTTGAATAGAACATCCCTAATACCATCTCATATACGTTGGGTTACTCAAGCGTCAACCTTTGAAGGACAAAGCGCCACATAAGTGGGCGACTATACCCCCTAGTGTGACAGTATATACAAAGAGCAGCAAGACTGGGAGACCATGTTACAGAAATGCCTTATTGGTTCGAGTATATATTCTTTGATAAAGAGGCGAGTCTCTATGGATCAAAGAAATCCACACAGCCCTGGATGTTACCACTCAAAATGGGATCTTGGGATGCCCACAATCTTCCAGGTACTGTCTCATGCTGGAGCTCTATATTAGCCAAGCTAAGCTCCTGCAGTGGGTGCATTGCATATTCCAAAGATGAAAGCCGATATATATTTTAGTAAGCTTGGAGATTCCTGAATAATATATAAGTACAAAGTCCTACCCAACCAAATATTCGGGAAGAACAAATGAGTCCAAAAGAATTTCAAAAAACCTAGATAGGTTAGCGAAACACATCTCACCTTTGGCATTGATCTCCAAATAGATTAATGCGAGGTTTAAAGGTTGAGACTACAAGCGCAAAGTCGACGGCTTTGAAGGCGAATGGTTCATTCAGTTGTTTAGAGAAGTCGAATACAAATCGAGCCGTTACTGGAGATGGTGTAGAGGTGAAGTTGTAGCTGTGTGACGAATTTGTTGACCATGAGATAACCGAATTACAGCGATAATTTTCTGTCCCTTTGCCGCTAGTTTTTTTTTTCTCCCGAAGTTGCGTCGCGAATAGACATGAAAGAGACGACAACCGAAGTGTGAAGTTGCCGAGTCGTGGCGCTCCGTTTTTCTTTTTCTTAAAAATCGTCGAGCCGAAACAAACAAAGACAGCGACGCCCCGTGGCCCGTCGCCCAAATCCCGCATTAAAACAATCCCAGAAACAAAGAAAAAGAGGGAGGAAGTGGGCAAGTTGGTGAAACGTGGGTACCAGGAACCAGGAGACATCAAAGGCCAGTCTCTGTTCTGGTTAGAAAACAAGGGGAGGCACTTTACCTGCCAGCGTACCGATCCTCGCCGCCGCCAGGAGCACCACCGGTGCTGCTGCGGGCTTGGCCTTCATAGGAACGTCCACCACCACCAGCGTAGGGGTCGCGGGCCTCACGGGGAGGGCCAGCAGCGTCGAAGCTAGGAGGGTTGGCATCACGATCGTAGTAGCCACCACCGCCGCCACCGCTGCCGCGAGATTCCTCACCACCTCCACGACGCTCATCACGGCTGTAACGATCATCACGGCCACCACCGTAGCGGTCACCGCCACCGCGGTACGCATAGTCGTCGCGCGATTCACGGCGGCCACCATACTCACGGCCACCACCACCACCACCACCGGCGTAGTCACGACGGCCATAGTCACGTCCGTAGTCACGGCCATAATCACGGCGATCATTGTAAGAGTCGTAGCGACCGTAGCGGGAGTAGTCATCATCGCGACGACGCCAGCCGCCACCGGAGGGGCCACGACGATCATCGTAACGGTCACGACGGGGACCACCACGACCACCGCCACCAGGACCACCAGGGGGACCAGGGCCATCTGAAGAAAGGAAATGTAAGCTTACGCAAGGCGCAAGGGAAAGGGGCGGCGTAACTTACCACGCTTGGGAGGACCGAAGTACTTTCCGGGGGTAGGGGTACGAGGACGAGCACGGCGAGCCTTCTCGATACTCAAGGTGCGACCTTCAATGACCTCACCCTGGAGACCCTCCTTGGCGGCATCAGCCTGCTCGGCGGTGACCATGTTCACGAAACCGAATCCACGGGATTCCTTGGTGTGAGGGTCAAGCATGATAGAACAGTTATCGACATCGCCGTACTTTTCGAACAGACGCGAAATGTCGGACTCGGTCAGGCGCGGGTGAATACCAGTAACAAAGAGGTTGGAGCCTGAGTTGATGGCACCTTCATCTTCTTCCTCGATAGGCTTGCGAGCCAGAGGAGCTCTGTAGGCTTATTAGCTTTGAATATATATAACAGATCAGACAAATACATACCTGTCATCAGAGCGGCCATTGGGGGAGCGGCTGCGAGCACGGTCGCGGTCGGCTCGAGGCTCATCGCGAGGAGAGGCGCTGCGCTCGCGATCATAGCGAGGCTCGTCTATTGAAAAACGGTAAATATTTTCAAGCGCATCGAAATAATTCTAAAACACATACCCGCGTAGCGGCTTGAATCGTTGTCGTAGTCCGCCATGATGAAAGGACTGAAGATGTAGTAGGTTGGAAGAAGGAAGAAAGAGAAGTTGGAAAGCTGATAAGAACGCTAAGCACCGGGAACTCTGCACACCCGAGGAATCAGGCAGCTGTGCAAACTGCGTGGAATTTAGTTAGCGAATTTAATGAATTTAGCGAATTAGGTGAATTGGAAGTTTTAAAGAACAAATCAGAGATTTCTTTTTCCTTTTGAAAATGCTTTATGCAGGGGGAAAAGCCTCTATGACAAACGGCGATGCCAAGACCGAAGTAATTGCCATATTAAAGCTTTATGAGCTATAGAACTGCACTAATACAAAACTACACTGAAATTAAACGCTAAAATCAAAATCATGAGCCCCATACGAAATCATGTCCACAATCATCGTGAGCCTCGCAAACGTCGAGTTCGACGGGTATTCTGTTGTGAAGCAACCGGGGCGCTAGTAGTCTCGCTCTTCAGCTCTCCATCGTCAACCAAGTCCTTCAAGCCTTCGAGTTCATCCTCATCTAGTTCACTGAGTTCTTCACTCATTCCACGCATGACATCTCGTCCAGTCCACCGTTCTTCGTGAATAGTTGTACCGACAGGGTCAAATGGCTGCATGTACCACTGAATGCCACCCATAGCCAAAGGCAGCTGCTGGTCTTGCTCGGTCAAGACAGGCGTTGGATGTCTATAGTAGGTGGGGGCACTCTTTATGGGTCCTTCAGTAGGAGGTAGCTCTTCCGCCCCAGATGCTCCGGGGTGTTGCTCATCTGTAGGCTGGGCTTCCGATGGAGCCTCTGTGGCAGGATGTGTTCCTTCGACTCCTTCCATCGCATCGGGGTGACCAGGCAGCTCAATATCACCTTCTGGCTCGACGGAATCACCATTGCGTGACATCACACTGTGATCAAGAATCACATCAAGCTCCTTCAACTCCTTCTCGAATGGTTTCCGGTTGAGCTCGCTCTCTTTCCTGATCGCATCCTCTAGGGAAGGCTGGATGACTTTGATTATCCGTTTCGCCGATTTTCTCTTCTCACGTTGCTCCAGGCTGAGCTCCGGGGCGCGACCACTGATCTGCGCTTGGAGTTCCGCGGTGTCGCCAGCGGGCCCCACCCCGATTTCTGAGGTGAAAAGACTGGCCAAGTCGGCAGAGAAGGTAGCAACAGACGGATAGAATCGTTCGTTGAGCCTCTTTCGTATTGACATCAAGCCTGCTGCAAACACACCCTTTCCATCGAGGCTGGAATAAAGTCAGTATGAGTGTTAACAAAATAGGAGTATATCTTACAGTTGAGCTTTCTCAAAGATGGGCCACAGCAATGGGAACGTCGGGAAGTAGACCAGATCGACGATGTTACGGAGCATCTCTGCATCCTTCAACTTCTCTTTCTCACGTTTCTTCACCTCGTCGCATAGCATTCTCAATCGGTCGAGATCCTTGTACAGTCGCTCACCAAACTCAATGCGACGCTCCAGACGTTTGTGCCCGGGAACACCCATTGCGACATAGTCTCTTCGTGTCATCTCCATAGATGAGAAGGTCTCCAGCTGCAACTGGAGTCGCTTGAGCAATGCTGCTCCACGTCGCGCCTCTCGTTTCAATGTCCAATATTTGGATGCATCCTCAGCATATTGTTTCCTTTGGCGGACGGTAAATCGCCCAAGAGAAGCAATCACCGAGTTTAATACAACCTGGGGGATAACTGGGGCACCGGAGGGTAGCTTCCAGATTGTTCTGGGAACACGTTTCCGTTTATTGCCGCCTACTGTTAAGGTAATGCGAGGGGTAAGGGTGCGATCATCTTCTCCTCCGTCACTGGGGTGCGCCGGGCCCATCGAGAGTGCCGCAGCTTGGCTGTCGCCCCATCGTCTACCTTGCATGGTATTGCGGTAATACTCGATGGCATCGGCAGTTGCGGAATCAGTGCCATGCTCCAACCGCCAGTCAGGAGGAACATGCTTGTCGCAGAAAGCCTTGAGAAGGTGGGAGTCCATAAGACCATGGCCAATCTTCATCTTTAGATAAAGTTGAGCTCTGCGTGCACATGAGACATGGAAGGCGACAAAGCAATTCTTGTTACTGCATTGAATCGATGCGCCCATCCGCTGTTTGCAGATGTAGCAATTCAACTTCCAGCGGCTGCGTGGGACCTTTTCGACATCGGTCACTGGCTCCATAAGAGAGGGATTACCAATTGAAACTTCAGGGATCCAGAAAGAGCAGAGTAGATGAGCCCATTTGGATGAGGTTGTTTGTTTGAATGCACCCTCAGTGTTGGGGCAGAAAATACAATTAGTGGCTCCTCTCCCTAGCAACTGGCACTTACGGCAAAGCCACTGGCCTTCTGGAATGAAAGGAACACCATAACACTCCTGATGCACTGCAAGGTCGCAACCGTCGCAGAAAACAATTGCATTCGAGTTTTCACAATCGCCATCATCACAGATAGCACATTTGCTGTCTTGTTCTTCGCCAGGTCCAGCAGTCTCGCCATTGACCGCAGCTGCAGAGCTAGAGCGAAGACGTCCGGTCTGTGGGGGTTTGGGATTCGGCTTGGGAATGCGCTTCTCAAGGGCGTGCCACTCTCTCTCGATTTTAGTCATGGTAATCTCAAACACAGCGGGCTTGATAGGTTCAAGCTGATCTTCACGGCGCTTGGCGTTGTATTCTTCCAACCACTTTTCATCCTGCTCATCCATGTCATATTCGACACGTCCAATTGTAGTGTTAACGTCTCCATCTGTCATGGCAGGCTGAATCACATCAAGGTCATCTTCTTGGGTGCCTTCCGTCATTCGAATAAATCGCCGGTCGTGGCGGAGGAAGAGATCACTCTCCTGGTATCCCACGTTTGCCATAGTCCGGTCGACATAGTTTTGATGGCCGACACCATTCTTCTCATAGAATGTGAAAGGGTCACGCAGTCTGAACGACGGCTTGGGGAGGGTTAGTTTCTCCCGGGGGTTGGGGCCCGGGGGCGGTATGATCTTTTGTCCTTGCTGGGCAAGAAGCGCATTAAGGATGGCTTCAGGGCGACGAGGTGGACGACCAGGCCTCCGTTTGATTGGGATTGGGGTAGCCAGTTCGCCTGATATAATAACTGGTGATCCTGAATGATCTGAGACTGTCGCACCAGCCAGTGACTCCAGGCTTAAGATAGGAGCAGAGCGATCTGGGGCATCAACCTCTTCAGAGGTGAAGACAGCGATTTTGCCATCAATGTCCAAGTCAGGATGGAACTCTTCCCACCCGCGTTCTTCGCGTGGCTTGTATCCATCACCTTGTTGAAGAGCAAGAGCGGCGGCCGTAGAAGATGTGAACCGACCGCGGGTTTGGTTCTTATCACGCCTTGGACGCGACATAGAGGGTGGTGTTGTTGGCATAATGGGAGGTGGCGGTGGAGGGGCTAGGAATGGTTGGTCCATCTCACGGGGTGGACGGCCTCGAGCACTTGCGGAGTGGCGTCGGGGAGCGCTAGTTTTCTTGGGAGTTCTTTGGGTTTCGGCGGCGGCGGCAGCAGCAGCAGCAGCAGCAGCAGTATCGAAGTCGATGAATCTTCCTCCTCCTCCAGGGCCACCTGGAACGTACTTTCGCTTTTTTGAAGGAGGGCCGTCAGGGGAATCGAAAGGGACGCTGTTGGATGATTTGAGGGAAGACCTAGGTTTATTGCGTGATGGACGACCAGAGATTGAATGTCTGACCGTCGGTGCCATAGTTTGAGAAAGAGCGTTCGGGGGTGTATGTTGGTCGCTGGGGATGGTGATTGTTAATCGGACGGCGTCAGGTCGCGTTCAGAGGCCGACTCAGGCGGGGCCTCGGGAAATATCAAAGCCGCAAGTCTCAAGTCATGCGACGGCAAACTAGAAACGAATGGACACAATGGACGCAAAGGACGCCAGAGCCCGTGGAAGCTGCAAGGCGCGATGAGGTGTTTGGTTATCTGGTCAAGGCGGAGACGCCCGAGCTGGCTGGGCCTGTTGGCCTGAGGCGCCAAGCTAGACTTTAAGCAACTCCGCAGCTTGACATAGGGACATGACATCCACAGCTGTTTCTGACAAGCTATTTACGACTTTATTCCTTCGATCGAGCTTTGTTTTTCTTTCACTTTTGGCTTAGATTCACAATATGAGCGGTTCTAGCGACAACAGGTACGCGTTATCCACGTCAAAACACCACGCGCTTCAGCTTCGCTAACTGGTATTCCTAAGATGGCGGGGTGGACCTAGTCGCCAGGCGTCGCAGCGCAACTCGAACAACCGTGAGAAAACAGGAGGACAGGGAAGCGCACGCGATAATAATGCTGCTTGGGGCGCATCCAATCCTCCGCAGGAACAGCATGTCCCTGTACGGGGCTTCAACACCGCAGAGGTTAAGAACACTCTGAAGCGTATGTATATGCACCTAATCTGCAAGTACAAGGGCTGATCAATCTTCTCTAATACAGCAGGGCCTAATGGTACGTCTTATCTCCACCTCCATATCTACTCAAGCCTAACCTATGCGCCATTGATACAGAAACCAAGTTGTCGACGCCCTACAAACCTCAATCTAAAGACGGTCCTACCCAACGATCTACTGCCTGGGGTGCCAAGGGTACAGTCTCCCTTCAGTCGCAACATTCTCTTGAACAATTGAACAAACAATAACCATATATACAGCGCAAAACATGGCGAACGGGAAAGACTTCTTCCTAGAGCTTCGAAAACAGATTGCTTCGCTGCAACGAAGCGGCCCCCCTGTGGGCGGCTGATCATGACGGTTACGACTTCATTATCTCAAAGTACTTGCATTGCACAGTCGGTCGGTAGCGAGTTTGGTTCGTTTTCATGGGTTGCAACGGCGCATCTTCGATACCCTACTGTGGAGGATGGATGGGTGATGAGTGCACTCGGAGGTTACATAACATCGGCGTCTCTGATGATTCTGGGTCTTACATGTCCATAATGCACTATGGCTCCTGCTTTTCAAAATTTATTCATTACAATTTATGCGCTGCATTAGAAAATCCGTAGTAATGAGATTGTATTATTTTACATGCGCTATTGTACACAGAGGGTATGTCACTAATATACAAGCAGGTAGCTACCCAACTGAAATCATCACTCCTGGATCCAGCCTCCTGGGCCAAGGATACCACCATCATCAGCTTTCGGGTCAAGGGTCCATTTCCGCAGAGGACGACAGCTGAGCTCGGATCGGAAGCCAGCTTCGAACATCTCAATACCGGCCCACCCAATCATGGCCGCATTGTCGGTACACAAATATGGAGGTGGAGCAACGATCTTGATATTGCCAAAGCCGCGCACTTCCAAGAATGAAGTGAGCACTTTCATGAGGAACTGGTTGGCGGCAACACCACCACTGACAACGAGAGTCTTGATATCGTTTTTGCCATTATTGTGCGGTCGCAGAGTCTCCAGCGCGATAACAGTGCGCGAAGCAAGGTGCTCAAAACAGACGCGCATGGCTTCCCGGCCTAGGTCGATACGCTCTGGATGCGACATCTTAATATTCGTACTGTTACTCTGAACAACTTTCCCAACCATGCTCGCAATTGAAGAAAAGCTGAACTGCATGATCCGCGTATTCGCGAATGGAGTCGTAAGAGACCAGCCCCAATCGCTTACACGCTTTGTTATTTCTTTACCTCGAGTTTCCGGTGGCGTATAATCCGCGAAATCGGCCTTGCCGTTAGGGAAGACGAATTGCTCCAGACTCTTGCCGTACATGGTATTTTTAGCTTCCTGAAGCAAAGAATCTGGTAGGATATCTCGTGCGGATTTATCGAGTGCTTCTCCAATAGCTATGTCTTCGCTTGTAGCGAGAATACTATGGTCTGTGAGACCTTTGGAATGAACCAAAGTCGTATGGCCTCCGGAGACAAGAATCGACAGGAAAGGGAATTCTGGGGTCATTGCGGGTGGGTCGACAGGCTTGGCTTCATTTTCCAGGCATGATACAAGACCCGGTGTCAAAAGATGTGCCTGCATGTGATGCACTCCGACCATGGGGATCTGCCATGCAACCGAAAGCGCTTTTCCAGTATCGAGGCCAACGGACAGATTGGACCGCATCCCAGGACCTCTTGTGGCGGATATGAAATCAGGCAGGCGGCGACGAGACCCATCTGCCATTTTGAGTCCATCGCCGGTTTTTGACTCCGGTAGGTAATTAAGGGCTTTCTGTACAAGGGTTGCGAGGTTGTCTTGGTGGGATTCGAGGGCGATAATAGGGTGAATTCCGCGATGCGCGCGCGTGTCGGCCGTGACATTCTCAAGGAAATGGATCTTGGCTGCGTTTCTGGAGTCTTTCTTTGTTTTCTCAACGATAGCTATTGATGTATCGTCACTGTTGTAGGTAGCCAATTAGTTGAGTGGCTTTTTTTCGGGCAGGCGTTTACTTCCGCTTACCATGATGTTTCAATTGCCAACGTGAGCAAGCCACGGCGGGAGGTCAAGCATCTCTTCGCTTTTAGCGCCGATCTGCGAAAAGTCGCAGCTGGTGTCACTAAGAATAACATTGGTAAGATGCTTGACATACGACCGGCGACAGGGGCGAAAAAGATCGGACGCGCACGGGCCGGAGAAGCCCTCAATTGGAGCCCTAAAACAGGTACCAAAACAGCAATCTATAGTGATCTACTCCGGACGGAGTACAGAGTACTGTCGCAAAGACTACTACTACCTATAAATCTTGAATTTACTCGCTATTGAAACCGGGTGTCAAAATAGGGCCGAGGGGACCGTTGTATTTGCAATAACGAATGACTAGGTTAAAACATTTATACTCAAAAATCAAAGTCATCAATCCAGCTCCCATCATAAAGTCATAAATGTATTGTTCCTCCAAAACATTGATACATGATTTTCCTTCCAAGAGCAGACAGAACGTGCAGTGTGCATCAAATGCTGAGTCAGTCCAGATGAATGATACTGACAAGTTCTAGGCCAGCGAAAAGCACGAGAAGCAGTATAATCACCCAGAGAACCATCGAGAGACAGGCTAGGTGGACACTTTAATGTGCCGTTTTGTCTTTTCCAGGAATTCGCCGTGCAGCTTGAGGATGTCCATTGCCGGGCGTGCTAGGTGTGCGGTTTGAGGTGATCGCCAAGAGACCCGGGGTGCAGGGCATGGCATCATTGGAAAAGTAAGATATAAACCCCGAGTCATTCAGAAGCACCTGGTCACTCTCCATTACCCCAGCCGTGGACGGTCATTAGTGGTACAGATCTCGAACTTCATTCACTGTCGGACCGTCCATCGCCGCTCTTCTCGTGACATCTTCATGTGCTTCCCGTAATACTCATCTGGGTTCTCAATAGGCGTCACACAGTGGACGGTTGGCGTTACTTGGAATTGTATACGCTTGTCAACAGTGGCAGGTCGCGAGGACGACTGCTTCTTGAGGATGCTCTTCGATGAGCAAGAGTTTGTGTATGAATAGCTTGGGACTTGCAGTGAGGAAAATCTCATGCTTGACGGACTCGCTGCGGAAATTGGCGAGACAGGTGTGCGAGGAAGAGTACTTGGTGACTTGAGGGATAGTGTTGGCCGAGGAGCATTCTGCACAGCAGAGATGCTCAGGGACAGCTTTGGCTTGACGACACGGGCGGTATACATTGTGACGGATGAACAGTCCACGATAGTTGTAAAAGGATGTTATTGGGGTTTTGTTCACAGGGAAGCTTTGATCAACAAAGATATCCGAGGAGGCAAGGAGAGAAACAAATTATTGACGTAAGTGGTAGGTAAGGAGTTGAAGAAACTTGGGCCAGCCAAAATTGAAGCGCACGAAAATAGAGGCAAAAATAGAAAAATAGGAAAATCTTAAAAAACAATATCTAAAAATCCAGTCTCCTGGGGGACAGATGGGGGCGGCTATATACTGAGGGCTTGAGAGGGTGAGAGGGGAACTTCTCTAAGCGCCCACCCCATGCACGACGGTGCACAAATAACCACCGTCACACTGGAGTTTCTAACTTGGGAAAGCTTCCGTCCCATCCAGCCAATTAGAATCCCTCAGGATTGGACTCCCTGTCTAGTGTAATGTGACGGATGATAGGATTCGATGGGGGACACATCCATATGCCCTGCAGCCAACTGCACCGAGAACCACACCGTTTTTCTGTCTATTTGATTCGAAACTCTCGTCCAACTATCAATGGGCGAAGAAGATCGCACTTACATCAAGTGGATTCCCACATTATTGGGTGATATCCCCGCATTATCACAGTGACGAGCAGCGGCCGTGAAAGCTGATTGGTTTGAATATCAAATTTGGAAGATCGTCAGTACTATAATTAGATATCGCATGAGGTGAATGCCGGTATCAACTATTTTTACTCTTTAAGATTGGGCGGAGCGATGAATAATCTCTATCCTTGACATACTTCCTAGACCAAAGCTACAGACTCTGTACGGAGTACGGAATAGTAAATGTAGCTATAGCACAGTTGGTCACATTTTGTTGGGACTTTTTGGGGTGGGGGGTCAATTGGCCTCTACTCCATCCAGGATAATGCTCACGTAGGCTACATTCCTAGTGACATTATTTCCTCATTTCTAAACCGAGCACGTATGCTGTATGATGTACATAATGCTTGACATTTATGCTATTTATAGAAAGAGTTCTAACATCGACGGCGCATAATTGACACACACACACGGAGTTCTTACACACATTTACTTCATTGGGACAATGCCAGGGGAGAGTATTTGAACTTTATGAAACGAGCGACTAGCTCTATCCAAGTATTTGGACCTGTGACTGGACCCTGAACCGTAAGGAAGACATCAGAAGCAGACATGCAGGACATGAGACAAACATGCGCGGGAGACACAGAAAACTTGGAATAGCATACTGACTCGAGATCCTATGAGATAAGTGGGATTTTATAGCACCCTACCGGGGCTCGGGGTAGGCTGAGATGTCCATAGCTGGGTGGGAGTATTCCTGCTCGCCGGGGTGGCTGGGGCTTAGGGGGCTTCGGAATAGGCTGATGCTTGGTTAGCTTATTAGCATTTGTTAATATAGAAAGGAAAGCTAAAGTGCTAGGCTGTTTAGGCTCTTGGCTTGGGATATCGAGCTATGATGGGCGTTGTGTGTTATGATAAATCTTAAGAGGGAGAGACGGGCTGATATGGATATTACAATTCACTCTTCGAGATTATAGATACACTATCTTTGTTCCTTTTATGAGATAAACTCGCATGAAAGAAGTCATAATGTCCATTGTATAGAAGCTTTTTGTCCTATGTTCATTCACAAGGTGTAAGGTGCGGGGCCTGACGGCGTTCGTCGGTGGTCTAGCCAAAATATTTTGGGAGGAGAGTGACGTCCCGGATGGCACCAACTTGTTGCATGCATGGCACATGATGTTCGATATTAGCCATATCGCCTTGATCGTTTCAAGAAGCTGGGCTGACACGGCGGGCTTCGGTAAGTCGCTGCGGCTCGGGCCACGCGCAATGGCTGCAAGCACGGGGGATGATGGCTATGTCCATTCAACCAGTCGGTCCGGTCTGACAAATGCTCGATCGAGGACCTCTGGCAGTGTTCCAAAAACTAGTCCGTTTCGCAAGGCGTGGATGAGAAGCCAACGGACGGGACAAATATACCAGTTTTCAGCATCGCTCAGCAGTCTCAGAGAGTGGTAATGAAACAGGATATAGAGAAATTCCAGGTTAAAGTCGTTTTCACAAATAAGCCTCTCCCTGCTTTCTTCTCACTGTCTACCTACGTATAAAACCGAGAAGGGGGAGAGAAAATATCTTAATAGAAATCTAAAAGACCACTGAAAAGACATCACAATGCCGCATAAGCGGTCAACTATAGGAATAATATCATAAAACATCTATAGGGCTGAGTCTACCTTTGTACTCCGCACACACGTGTATGATAAGATCTTATTGACCCACTGATAAAAGGAGTCCATCATTTCCAAGTTATCGCTCAAAGGGGAATTTGAGCTCACATGTATGCATAATTTAGTGCCAGTGAGATCAATTCTTTTTATACTATGCTAGGGTTCTCATTGTTTATAGCAACGAATGTCTTCATAGAATCACTCTTGAATTCTTCTAGTGTTTCTATCTTTTGAGTAACTAGCAATTATTCCGGGTATACATTGATTCTACCTTTTACAGCCCTCGGGTCCATGGATAGTTCTACCGGGTGTAATAACACTTGCTGGGATAAGGATGTTCTAGTCACAAAATGGGTAGGTTATTTTATCTCTTTCATATAATAGATCGTCCACATATGTCCGGAGTACGTACAACATACATGTGAATCTTGGAAACTACCCCATATTATTAATAGCGCTAGGTAATGTCGGCCTGGCTCCTGGTGAATTATTTCTGGAGCTTTAAAGGCTTGAGCCCAAACGGGCGCTCATACACCACTATCCACCGTACTGTATATAGTCTCCAACTCTACAATTGAGTCTTTTGGAAGCTCTAGAACCGTGCACTTTGTAAGAATAGAAAGTTGAAACGGTTAAATGCCAATATAAAGTGCGGAGAAGGAGTATCCCGGAACATAACTTCCGGAGTTAAGCCGAGTGAGTCAGGCTTGAAATAAGAGGGGAAGATATCAAATTGGCCAATTGAAACGAATCTCTCCAAATTCTTCGCACTGACTCCGCACCGAACTCGGAGATCCTTTTCGTGTTTGTCTTTTTCCAAACGCTCACCGGTTCCGAAGCCATGTGACACGTTCAACCTCCGGTTTCTTCCTCCTTGGGGCTTTTTCAAAGTCGCCCACTGTCTGTATTTTTCTTTTTTTTTTTTTTGTGCCTCTGGTTCAGGTCCCCTATTATAACCGTAGTGGCACACGTATATCATTCCCAAGGACTGGGAAAAGAGTTCTCGAATAAGAAGCAGTACCAGGCTAGAGACCCTTGGATATACATCTAAGTAATCTAGGCACAGGGCTATGTGAGATCGGTGAGAGACTCTGATTCGGTCCGATCCCGGGTAAATAACGCCATAATGAAAAGCCAAAAAAAATTCAACGTGGCGGGTGCGTAACATATCTTAGAAAATATAGAAAATATTAATTCTATCTATTATCTATTCTAATATCTAATATTATATATTATCGTGAAGAACAGAAGCAGCCCCAAACTAGAAAAGTGGGCACCGTTTATATTATCAAAACACTTTTTTTATTGACTCAATCCGCCCCTTCTCCACTCCCTCGACCCCTTCCTTCCCCCAGTTTTCTCTTTTGTGGGTTTCCTTTTTCCTTTCTTGTGTACTCAAAAGTCAACTTGCATATACACCATGGCTAGTGTAAAGGAAGCCGTGAAGGAATCCCTTCTGGGAAGCACAGAGTCGCCTCAGCTGTCCCACCAATCGCGTTCGAACTTTCTCCGTCACGCGCAAAAAGACGAGAATGGCGAGCTCTTCATGAACGAGGAGAACTTCATTAATGCCGTGGCACCTAAACAGGAAGACTATGTAAGTGTCAGTAGGACAAAGGTACTGATCGCAATGGCTGATTTGGTTTCCTCCCAATAGCACAAGATTAAGCGCGAACAATATGGCATCCTTTTCAATGTCGCAGACCGACGGAGAGCTGGCAAGCTGAATATTACCGACTGGGCCTCCTTCGAAAACCTTCTCGCGAAGCCCGATGCCGAGTACGAGATCGCCTTCCGTCTCTTCGACTTCGATGGCACCGGTAGTGTCAAGTTCGAGACCATGCAGGGACTGTACAACATGAACAAGAGTACCGAAAGCATCCCCTTTGATTGGAACTCGGAATGGGCATCGCTGTACGGAGGCCGCTCCAAGTCTCGTCATGATATGACCTACCCCCAATTCGCCCAGATGCTGCGCGGCTTGCAGGGTGAGCGCATCCGTCAAGCGTTCCACATCTTCGACAAGGATGGTGATGGATTCATCCAGCCCGAGGACTTCCAGCGTATTATCCTTGAGACCTCAAAACACAAGCTGTCCGATCACGTCCTCGAGAACCTCCCCACCCTGTGTAACATTTCAACCAGCAACCACATCTCTTACGCCACTGTCCGTGCTTTCCAGAATGTCATGCGTGAGATGGATATCATTGATATGGTGGTCCGCGAAGCAACAAAGAAAAGCACCGATGGCAAGATCACTCGGGCCGACTTCCTGGACGAGGCCGCTCGCGTCACCCGTTTCTCCCAGTTTACACCCATGGAGGCCGATATTCTGTTCCACTTTGCTGGTCTGGATGCGCCTTCGGGACGTCTCTCGCAGAAAGATTTCGCCAAAGTCATCGATGCTTCGTGGCGTATTCCCGTGGCCGCTGTAAACCAGGCCTTGTCCACTGGACACGAAGTTGCCGAGAAGACTAAGAGTGTGCTTCACGGCGTTCTGGAGTCTGCACACCACTTTGCTTTGGGTAGTATTGCTGGTGCTTTCGGTGCTTTCATGGTCTACCCCATTGATTTGGTCAAGACCCGTCTGCAGAACCAGCGTTCGTCTCGCCCCGGCGAGAGACTGTACAATAACTCCCTCGATTGTGCTAGAAAGGTTATCCGCAACGAGGGTTTCACTGGACTCTACTCTGGTGTTATTCCTCAGTTGATTGGTGTGGCGCCTGAAAAGGCTATCAAGCTGACTGTGAACGA